CAGACCTGTTTCTGAACTTGTGCTTTGGATCGAAGGGTGCATCAGTTCATTGGCCGCTGCCCTCATCAAGCCTTGGAGATATCAAAGAACTTCGAGATGAATGCTTGATTCAAAAGCAAGTCATGCTGTAGGGAGACTCAAAGCGGTGTTCCAGTCCGAATCTTAAAAACAACTTTCTTCTGAGAATGGCAGTCAACCAGAAATGGAATATATAAATTTAAATATATATAATTATGTCATGCTATCGTATGTTTCTTGATAGATTTGCCTCCAGCATTTTAGCAACGAGCCTCAGAGCACCAGCCACTAGGAGTTTTGTGCTCGGTCACGAAGTCGCATCCTTTTGCAATGGCACTAGAAGAAAATGGAGCAGCTCGACTGAATCGATCATTTAAGTAAAACATGTTTCAAAAAAGTGGATGATAAGAAACTCCGGCGAGGATCGGCTGCCCATTTTCTTTGTCGAGAATCCCGATGGGCCCGGAAGCTTACACATGGATAGAGGGAGTGTTCAGATCGCCAGGAGTTGATTAGGTAATGTTTTCTAAAACTTTCTGCAAATGTCCATGTCGATGTCCATTTCTGTGTTTATTTGTGTTTGCTTTTGATGTTGCTTCAGGAGTATCGACGGTGTGGCTGGCGCAGACTCCATTGCGCCTCCCCCGGCGAATCCACGTTTGTGGTGCCATCACTGCAATACTCAGCTGGAATTGCAGGGAATCCCAGGGCACAGTGAATTGTGGGAATGTCGAACATAAAAGGAGGAATTGTGGGAAAGCTAAGTCAGCCACTGACAGCTGTACTGACAGCAACATGCAACGACTGTTCCGAAACTTCGCATGAGCGGACCCTTCACGCCGTGAACTCGAAAAGGACAACTTTGGAAGAGAACCCGATTATTTATGGCAGAAACAGACATGAATATATAAATATACTACTTATAGAAAATACGGACGTACTAATATATGTGTGTTCGAATTCTGTCCAGTCGACATCTCCACGCCCAGTGCAGCTGGAGCATCCTATGTTCAGTGCTACCTTTGCAGGTGGGGAGCATGAATGTAGGTTACCAGCTACATGCTGCAAGCCTTGCAGTGCAAGGGTTTGCCAATCATTGGGTTGTCAACAAGAGTTGCGCATGCACCATTCAGGGTGAGCACAGCTCTCAATGATAAACAGCCAGTTGTAGATGCTCCTTCAGAGAACACGACCACATGTGTCATAAAATATATGAGCGCCCTCACATTTGATTGGTGCATGAATGTGCATCAGTCGGTGGCTACTGTCATCGAGGCAAATTCGAGGTTGCTGCCAGTACACAGTGCTTCTTGATGCTTCTTGTGTCGAGGTTCACTCGATATGTTACTTCCATTTATGATAGCGTGATACCCGAGACTGTTTAAAAGGGAAGAGAAAGACCGATAAGATGACAGCAAAGAGGTGGAAGGAGAACATGCCGAGCAATGGAAATCGCATGAAAGCAATGTGCGAAGTGACAAGCAGCAATAGTTACGAGTGAGGGGACAATAGAATTGTTTGTACACGATAGAACTGCACAATCCTCCATGAAAAGCTGCGTGCACAATGGGCATTGGATTTAATACCGAGCCATGATCATGACATCATCTTCAGGTGAGCTGTAGCAACTGTATAAGCACAGAACAAGCCCAATGCACAACCAGGAGCAAGGCCTAACCCAAGACGGGGAGCAACAAGCTTGCAATCCACACACACTCCCTCCATCCGGGCGATTCGAAATGCAGCCAACGGACCAACAGACTCGACCAGTGGCAACTGCTTCAGGAGATACACAGTCAACACGTGGAGAATCACGACAACTACGTCAGACTACGTCAAACAAGAAACACTAAGAATCAATTTGACTCGCCAGAACAACCGTGTACTTTGGATCGCGCCATTGGAAAGAGGGGAGACAAAAGAAAGCGCATCAAGAATTTTGTCGGAGAAGGAATACAGACAAGGACCGTCCGAATCCAGTGCAGGCAAGTGCAAGCAAGACGTCCACATCGAACTTAAACACGAAAAGCAACTGGTACAAAATAGTTGCCTAACCATTTGCAAACCTCTTGCATTGGACAACCTCTCCAGCGAGTGACAAACTACGTAGGCGCCACGACTCATCCATGCCATGTTGGTTTTACGGCCGCAGCAGACAAGTAGAACTAAATGGAACCTATGTACAACATACAACAGTTTCACCAACGGCCGATCAGTTCGCGAGCGTGAACGCAAACCATGTACGGCTCTGCTCTGCGTTTTGAAGACACTTTCAGACGACTTTGTAGATGGCTCTTGCCACGTGCCTCACAAGATTGCCATGTTTCAATTGCGCCGCACGAATGCCCAATTTTGCTTTGTTGCCTAAGCAACTGTGGCATTTGGCTGGCCATTGGGCACGTTGAAACTGTGCCTGCCTTGTGTTGGTGTGAAGTCACATTCCTTCGTCGAATCGTCCCACATGCGTCGGAACTGTGTCCTTGAGCACGAGTATGAGCAACAGAGAGGGGAAGCTGTGTGCACAATCAGAAAGAGTGAGTGAGAGAGAGAGAGAGAGTGAGTTGTTGACAGCGAACTATTTAGAGAGCGGCTTTATTTTGGCAGAAGCGTTTTGGCTGTGGTTTGTAAAAAAAAATCTTGGTGGGCATCCCAACTCTTTAGTCATACATAGATAGGTTTGCCAGGCACTTGGATGCCAAGCAGTTAAGGTTTTCTCGCCAATGGAGAACCAGAAAACCGCTATTTGTTCAAGTCTGAGCCTTTTCTGAACACTTGAAAGCGAGATCCGGCTGTTAGATGATGTTAGATGTATAGATGATGTATAGACGATGTGCAAGGTGTTGAGATGTTTGGGAACCCTGGTCCCTTGCGCTTCTAGCGCTATTAAGGTTGGAGTCCTCTAGTTCATGTAAGCCTGCTTCATTTTTCTCCAGATACGGCAGGACGATGAACGCAGTTCTGACGGGGAGCCAGCTGGGAGGAAGAACGATGAACATGCTTTGCACAGCTGGGGAAACCAAGGTTTTCGGATCTTTTCGACTGAAGAGTTTGGAGCATTTTGGAGCATGGGTTCATTCTTGTAAGCGTTTGAGAAATGTTGCATGGAAATGTTTGGTTTTGATGAACTTCCAGTGCACTTTGACTCAAAATTGTTTCCCTCGATTTCTCAACAGTAAAAAGAGCAAGAAGAATTTGGTCGCTCAAGACGCAATGGTCATGGATCAAGTCTCTAATTTGCACAAATCAAACCTGTTTCAGAGCGTAGTTGTTGGTTTGGTGGTGGGCCGGTGGGCTGTTATGTTTTCAAGGTGTGTGGCACCTCCAATCTAGCTCCCTGGGGCACAGCGTGCCTCAGAATTTGTCAAAGTGTGGAGCGAGAGTTGCAGACCGATGTGTCCAAAAAACACCAATCTAATAATTTAAGACCAAACGCATCTAATTTTCCTCTTGAGGTACGTTTACAGATGCTTTCAGTCAGTTGAGATGTTGCACGAATTTGATCAAGAACAATGGAAGCTGAATTATGGAAGCCAAGATTGAAACAACGAACTGACCAACTTATAACTTGTGGCCAAATGGACTCAATTACTCCTTGCCAGAAACAATTTGTTGTGACACTTTCTTGGAAAAACATATACCCAAGCTCAACTTAAGCTCACCGTTGATCGTGTCAATTTCGCATTTATTGCTATTTTATTGCAAGAAGCTACTAGTAGCAAGTGCATCGCTACTAGTAACAAGTGCATCGCTACTAGTAACAAGT